AAAACATTTGTGATAATAGGCACCTGGATTATTAGATTTGTATAAAGTGTAAATATTTGTTAATAAGTGATAGGAAAAGCAGATCTCCCTTATAGTTTAGTCTCAGAACAATTGTAAAGTTAGTCCAGATGGCAGCTGACAAACACAATTAATCTTGATATATGGAAACAAACTTAAGGTATAACTTTTACCTTGTTCTTGTAGGGCAAGATGCAAAGCAAATTTGTATTTTTCTAGAATACCTTTCCACTTGTAACAAAGAAGAATTACATCTACTTTTTATCTGGATAATTTAAGTATAAAATGGAGATTATAGAAACAACAATTTTGACAATATTTTTTATAATATGGCAAACTTGCAGTAAACAGAAGTAGCACTAATATAGTAGAAAGAACAATGAAAACATCAATAATTAGTCGATCAGTCCCCAGTGAACAGCAAGAAAGAGAGGTACCTGTTACACTTTCTGCAGTGATGTGAACGTGGTGCCTTGTATGCTTGGCAGACTTTACAATACTGGAGATACATGGTATCCTGAGAAATTTCCTTGGGAGCAAAACAGAAACAAAAATGCATCAGATGCCTGAACTCAAGTATGATTCCTACAGTATGATTTTCTTTTATGGGGGATAGGGAAGGAGGGAATCTTAACTTGCATTTCCAGTCCTCTTATTTGAGCTAAAATATTTTTAAACAACAATTTTCTGATTTTTTTTAAAGCCTTTGCACTTTTTATTTATTTTTGTTTCATTATTATGCCCAGTTCTGTGCCATTAGACTTTAAGCCCACTAGGCAGTTTCAATAGTGTTTTAAAGCTTTTGCCATACATATGAGGTGAGAACAGATGCACACCCCCTTTGCAGAGCTGCACAACATATAACATTTTCTCGTTACAATTCAGTATCATTGCAGCAAGATAAGCACACCCCATAGTCTTATTTAACAGACATGAAGAAGTCAAGCTCTATTGTTCAATGTCACAGGCAGCCAGCCCTGCATGATCAACCTTTATTCTTTTCTGGCTTCATTATGAGGATGATGCCTTTCAGCTGTGGTGACTAAACCTGTTAAACTACAGCGTGATATGGCAGAAGACCAAGCAGTTTCTAAATTTGAAATTATATCTACACACATCAATGCACCAATCGGATTCCAGTTTGCAATGTGGTGAAAACTCTTCAGGGCTGAAACATTTCCTGTGTTGCCAAAGCTGGCAAGAACATCTTCAACATTCAAGGATCCACTATTGTGCCTTAAGGAGTTACTGTATTCAGGATAGAAGATGCTTGTATATTGGACCCATGCACCAACCTCCTCGTCAGTTTCCCTTTTTTTGGCTTCTGTTACTGAAAACAGATTAAATGATTCAAATCTTCTTACAGATACATGTCACAGACAATCGTCCAGGTGTTTTTGCTTCAGAATCTGCCGCAGGAGCTTCCACCGGTCGGCTCCCAGGGGCGCCGAGACTACGGCCCCCCGAGCGGTGCAGCCAATTGCCGGATCCTCGTCCTGCTCGCGCAGTCTCGCCGGCCCCAGTGTCTGCAACTCGCGACTCCATCTCACTGGAGCCTTCCATACCCGGAGATGCCTCCACCGCAGCTCGTCCCCTGCCAGGACCTGCCAACTTCTTCCCTGTCAGGACCTGTGACGCTCGCCCCACCCCACCTCCACTTCTATTTTTTTTTTCAAGTAAATGAGTATAATATAAAAGTATAACAAATCATCATTTGTTGTGAGAATGAAAATCACCTTAGTTGTAGAAAACAGTATTCAAACATTAATTATTATGATAAGTGATAAGGGTGATACCTGTGGAAATGGAAAGGAACATCATCCCTTTCCCAATTACCCAGAAGTCATTTAAAATTTTTCTTCCCTATGCTCCACCCAAATTCAATGTCACTAGTTGGTTCTGTTCACCCCCAATCTTAGTGGATTGAGAGGAGTTCAGAAAAAGGTAGCTGACAACTTGGCATGTATTTCAGGGTGAGGAGTTAAGCATGAATTGATACTCTTTCTGAAATCTGCTCCCTCCTTGACATTACCCCATTACCTCCTCTTTCTTCAGCCACTTTAATCGCTTCCTAACCAGTTTCTTTTACTGTGGTTTTTCTTCAGCACAAACTGTATATTGTCAAAATAATATTCCTATAACACAACTCTATGTCAGATTCTGGCTGAAAACCTCTAAAACTCCCTATGGCCTACAATTTTTCATGTATTTGAGAACTTTCCTGATCTGCCTTTATTTTGGCTGTCTCTGTACTATACATATAATCTTTTTTCCAGTCACACAGGTCTGTCCATTGTTTCTGAATATATGCTTCCACCATTCTCTCAACCTGAAATGCCCTCTTCCCCATCTCCTTTGGAAATTCCCATTCCTCCCTCAGGTTCCCGGCTGCAAATGCTCAATTCTTCTATCTTTAACAGCACCCATCATATTCACAATTTGCACAAGTGTGTTGGCTTCTTGGTTAGGTTATAAGCTTTTTCAGAATGCAAATTGTGTCTTTCCCTTCCTGTACTCATTTTGAATAATACGCAGCACACCATATACACCAGTGTTTCCCAAACTTTAATATACCTAAGAATCATCTGGGGACTTTATTAAATTAAAGATTCCGATTTGGTAGATCTGATGGAGCCCAAGATCCTGCCTTTCTGACAAGCCATCAAGTGATGTCCCTTAGTAGGAAATATCATAAGATTATGCTTATGGACATCATAAGCATAAACAAACCATCAGGTGATGTCCCTTAGTAGGAAACATTATAACATTATGCTTATGGACATCACAAGCATAAACTTTCTAGTAGTTTTTAAGCTATAAATGGATTTGGACTATACTTTCCAATGTTATATTTTCAGTGCAGTGATTTAAAAGCCTTATGATTTAAACCAGCAGTTTCTAAAGTGCTATTCTCAGTTCTAAGGGATGTTAATGTATTACATGAAAACAGATCCTATATCCAAACCTCATTGTGTATGATATGTGATGTTTCCTCAACTTTTGACCATGAAATCCACCCCACTTCCAACTTTTTTTTAATGCAGAGCAAATATTCAATAAAATTGAATATTTGGAAAATGCTATTTTGGATGAATATCTTCAAATAGACATGAACTAAAATCTCTGATCAGTGATTAGAGTAATACACTTAATCTCCACCAGGACAAACAGCAGGCTGTGTTTAGTATTACTGGTTAGTAGATAAGGCAAAAACGAAATATATGATTATCATTAAAGTTCATTGTCTTACCGGTTTCCACCCCAGAGGGACAAAGCCCGGACCGACAAACATGGCATTGAAGTAATTATAAAGAATCATGACAGTCCAATTTATCAACATGATGAAATTCACACTTCCTCCAGTTGTATGTAAGGGCCAATACCACAACACAGAGTCAATCATGGCCATTGTAGAACATATTGCTATAACACCAAGGGCTATGATGGGACCCCAGTGACACAGTCTCTTTAATTCTTGGAGATTTTCAAACTTGATAACTGAACAGAATGTACCCATTTTGGCAAGGAAGAATGCCTTCCTACTTTTAAAAAATTATAGATTTCCTTTTTCTGTGCACACATTTCCATATGCCACAAGTCCATGTGTGTTCTTTAACTGTCATGCCTTCAAGCTGTGAACTGTTAACGCAGATTATGCCATTTTCACTGTCAGGCACCCAAAGCTCTTTATCTTAACTAGGAGAATCCGGTGTCTTGGTCTGAAACCCAATCTAAAGAAAGCAAAATGGGAAAGTTCGGTTAAAAAAATCTTTATTACATACCATACTTGTTAACGACAATAAACACCGACACAACAGCATCTCACCAGTAGGATGTATATCTTCTCAAATGTCAAAAAGAATTACTTCTGATTTACCCAAAATACGATACAAGTTTGAATGGCATGTAACCTGGATACATGATTCCAAAATAGTTGTTTTTATTCCTTCTCAGCTTATCAGGGTACTGTTACCACCCAACGCCTAGTGAATAGTTTAGAAGACAAAGAATTTTAGAACTGAGAATCAGGACCTTAGAGTTGATCTAATTCAGTTTCCTTCTTCATAGAACAGAAATTGGCTTACAAAGGCTAGGTGATTAGACCAAGGTCACAAGTAAGTAACAGTTGAACCAGAATAGAAGCCAAGTCAACGAACTCCCTTTATGAAGTTCTAAGCTGGCTCTCGAATTAAGCCAAGTGTTGTTGTCAGACATGGTCTGCGCCATTTGCCTGCAGTTCCCCCACCCCGCCCTACAAACACCAAGAGAAGAATTTGGGCCAAAAGTAATGAAGCAAGAGTGAAAGCAAAGAGAACAGCCAAGGAAAGGAAGGAAAGAAAGAGAGTGAAGGTGCATGTGTGGTGTGTGTGAAATTGTGACCAGAAGAGTATATGGGAAGAACCTGAATTAGAAGATTAGAGGGAAGAAAGAAGAGGCGGTGCCTCCGGGAGCGAGGGAAATGGTAGGCAGCACGGCGAGCTCGGGGGAGATCTGGGGAAGGAGTGGACTGGAGTGAGTCCGGGAAAGAGGATCTGAGCTACATGGATAATACAGACTATCACGCGGCAGACGCTGTCGACTTGTGCCTCAGTTTCCCGCCCAAGTCACGGAGCAGGGCTTAGAAATAAATCCTCACCCAAGGAAGAAATATTCTAGTAAGCCACCTTAGGTCTCAACATTCAGGAGAGCCTGGTCCCACTCTGGTGGGGCGAAGACCACCGAAATCGTGCCTATATTCCCTGCCTTGACTCCCACCTGAGTGTGGTCCCTGGTGTCCGCTCCTCAGCCATCGCACATCCGGGGCGGCGTGGGCTCACCCGGAACAGATTTTTTCCTCCTTGGATGACTCGATCATGTGCACTTCAGTCCAGGACAAGCAGACAGCACATCCCGGCCTTGAGAGGCTGGAGTGCGGGACCTGCTACGACCCGCGTGTCCCTCCGCCAGCGCCCTCGCCGCGACTCTCCCGCTCGGGCCCCCTGCGCAGTCTCCGTTTCAGCCACTTCCGGAGGTTAGGCTCCTCAAACTTCCCTCCAGAAGCAAGCTCCTACAACCTGTAGCGTGCGGATCCGCAGCCGATTCCCAGAACACGAAGGGAGAAAAAAAACGCTTCCAGTGACCCCCTCAGAACGCGAATAGTTTCACGGGCTTTTTTGGCGGCCGCTAATTGGGGCGCTTTTCCTTAGCGAACTTCCTTCTCTTAAAGACTGAGCGGAAAATAAAGCGCGCACGCAACCTAATTTCCGGAGGACCGAGATTGCGACGAACAACCAGGAAGCGGCTGGATTGGGAGCTGTCCCCGGTTCTCCGTTCTGCTCTCGTGGGCACCTCGCGGGGTTCCTAAGCCGCGGCCCGCCACCGCGCTGCCCCTTGAGGCTCCTGCCCTGACCTCGGCTTTGGCCTGGGTCACTCGTTCCGGAGCCGCTATGTCGTCCGACTTCGAAGGTTATGAGCAGGACTTCGCGGTGCTCACTGCAGAGATCACGAGCAAGATTGCGAGGGTCCCACGACTCCCGCCTGGTGAGAGTCCTGCTCGGCTGGGCTAGGGTGCTGGGGAGAGCGCAGAGGGTGCGGACAGTGGAACACCGCCCGAGCAAGTGTGTCTGTGAGGCGCGAGGCTGGAGTGGTAGGTGCCGGCTGTTCCCCGGAGGGATAGGGCTTGGCTTGGTTGAGGGTAAAGGAAGAGTCCAAGTTCCAAGTTCGGGGGTGGGATGTTGTGAGAAGAGCCTTCGGTATCTCGGTTCGAATCCCGACTCCACTCCCTTGTAACTTGTATAACCTGGGAACGTTTCTTAACGTCTTAAGAGTCTTAATTTTTCCATTTGTAAATTATAGAGATGTGAGTATTCAAAGAAAATGAATGAAAGTACGTAGCTTATGGATCTACAGTCTACAGCGGCGTTGTTGTGTTAGTAATAATGTTGTTATAATTATATGCGGCAAAATAGAGGTAAGAATCAGGGTGCCTGGATGCAAATCCCCCCTCTGTCACTTAAAAGTTGTGCCTCTTAAGCAGGCTTATTAACTTCTTCCAACTTTCCTTCTTAGTAAATGGGGGAAAATTGTACTTCTCTCATGGGGTTGTCATGTAGGTTAAATTTACATAACATATTTAAAGACCCTCCTGGTGTCGCTAGTTGCTGTGTTAGCATTAGTATTTTTCATACCTCCCACCTCATTTCTTGTTTCTCATCCTTCTTGGGGATTTAGTGTATAACCCAGTTTTATGTAAAACTTGGTACAAGATAATTTTTCGCACTTCAAAAATTTCACTTCTCCCATCTAGAAGTGTTTTTGTTTTTGTGTTTGCTTTTGTGTTTTAGCACCTCTTATTTTCCATGCTAGACTATCAGCTATGTGAAGGTGAGAGCTGTGTCTGTGATTTCCTTGGCATTTACTTATTAGGGGCTCAGAACAATAAGTGAATGAGCAGGTGAATGTAAACATGATCTTTTGTAACTTTGGTTTGTGAAATGTTGTTTCCGGAATTATCTTTCTCTACAGATTTGAGTAGTTAAGTTATACGATTTGTTAGGGAAATTGAACCATCATCTGGCTGCTGGGTTTGCCCCTATACTAGCTCCGGGATATAAAGTATAGAAAAGAGGATGCTCATCAATCTGCGGATTGGTGGACACTTCACTCGCTCACTTGTACTGGTACTAACGATAATTTCTCCCGCACCTAAGTTGTCATTCCTCTTTCCCTTTCCCTACTTCCCCCAAAACGTATGTGTTTGTAAGTAATTTTCTTCCCTTATTTCTTTGTTTTTCTTCCCCTCACCTATTTTCTGTTAATAGGGATATTTGCTTGAAGCCAGGATCTCTGAACTTACACCCCACTCATCTCCTGAAGTCCCCAGTTAGTTCTGGAGGAGATGGATGAGAGGTTTATGAGTCCAAGTAAGGGAACAAGAGGAGAGAACCAAGGTAGTATATACCACCAAGCTCTGCTGCCTCAGAGATTTTTGTGTCCAAAGTGGCTGATGGCCTCACCTCTTCATGATACATCACCTCGCCGCATCAGTTCTGCTTGTCTCCTCTGCGGGAGATCATCTTGATTTTTGTTATTGTTGGAGACTACTTCCTTTGAATTGAGTCCCAGAGCCTCAGAATATCAGGACTTGTGGTTTCAGTTAGATTTTTACTAATTTTTCATTGTAATTGTTTTAGCAGTAGAAACATTTCTTCGGGTTATTAGCTTTTGTATTGGGAAGCTGTTTTACAAAGTATCAAAGTCATCCTTGGATGCAAAGTTGTAAAAACTGTTTCCAAGAAAACAGATCTTGTTACAATGTTTTTCTTGCCTTTATATTTTAATGTAACAATTCTTAACTTATAAAAGAAATCTTTTTGCATTCAGTACCTTAAAAGTAAAAGTGTGCCTCTCCTTAGCTGTAGTATTATGTAAGATCCAAACAAATGAGCCACATTGCAATTGAAAGGAGACTGCATTACTGGCACTGGAAAAATGCTTACTGACTTGTATTACTGAATAATCATATTTTTTTTTTCTTTTTGAAATGGGGTCTCCCTCTGTCGCCCAGGCTGGAGTGTAATGGTGCAATCTCAGCTCATTGCAACCTCCGTCTCCTGGCTCAAGGCTACTCCCACCTCAGCCTCCTAAGTAGCTGAGACTACCGGCACAAGCCCCTGTGCCTGTATGATTTTCTTTTTGTAGGGATGGGGTTTCGCCATGTTACCCTGTGGCTGGTCTCAGACTTCTGGGCTCAAGCAATCCACCCGCCTCGGCCTCACAAAGTGCTGGGATTACAGCGTGAGCCACTGCACCCGGCCTAATCATAATTCTTAAAAATGCATTGGTTGCCCTCTTAATAATGACTTGTGCTTGTTCCTTTTATAATCTATTTCCAATTAATAAGTATAAATAGATGAAAAATATGTCCATGTAGTTATGAATTTCAGATGTATGTCTGTAGACTGACAGACATTAATATATATAACTATGGCAAAAACAGTATGATGACTAGTAATTATTATCTATCTCCCTGGGCATCATTTGCAAGTGTGGTGTTCAGCTAAAAGTGACCCAGATGAGGTGAAGTATAATTTACTTGAGCTAAGAAGGATAAAAATTGGAGCAAACTTTCCAGTCAAAGCAGTTCATTCCCCAACATATTAACTTATTTAAATTGGAGTAGGTAGATCTGTTGAAATGAACTTTACTCTGTGCTGTGCATGTGACAGTGTATTAAAAGTATTGCTTCCAAAGAGAACAGAAGAGTGAGCACTTAAAAATTTTAAGAAAGAAATTTGATTACTCTGTGATATTTTTTAAACAATAAAGAGACTTTGCTCTTAAAGTGTTTGAGTCTTAACTAATTTTAGTAATTGAACTGAGATGGATGAATTCTTTCTTAGTTTATACCGTTATGGAACTTTATTTGAAAGTTGTTTTTTAATTATTACTGTTCTGTGTGAAAGTCAGGAAAATGGATGAACAGAAACTACAGCTAGTACTTTATGGTGATGTTCCTTTTCTTCTAGTCATGGGGGGTGAATTCTTAAGTGGGGACTGTTTTTCTCTGGTGCAAAGATTTCGTTACCTGAAGTAGGCTTACTGAAGGATCTTAAACAAAGTAGTCTTTTTGCAATTAGTTGCTTTCCTTACCATTCACAGAGAGATAATGATCTGTTGTGAATCCTGTCACTTTATGGCTGTCCTTAGAATTGTACCAAGAAAGTATTAGAGCAAAATGATTCAGACTCAGACATGACATCAGATCTGTTTAGAACCCTAATTCTGCTACGTACTCGATGTGCAGTCATGGACAATTGCTTGGCTTCTCTAGGCCTGTCTCCTCCATCTGTAGAATGGGAGTGAGAGAGAGTAATAATTTCAACCTTATAATGTAAAAATCAATGAAATAAAACATGTAACACTAGTACAGTTCTTACATAGAAAACATGTGATATACTAGCCATTAATGAGATTGCTGCTGCTAAAGACAACAGCTGGTAAGATTAGCCAGGAGCCTGCTCTTCAGACTTTCTTATATTAACTGAACTCTGAAATCTTACACTTCAACTCTTGCGTCCTTTCTGTGCCTAGACCAGAATTAGGTAGATTTCTCTTGAACACATTTGAAAGGAGGTAAGTGATTAGGGCTTTTTGGGTATGAAATTGGAACTGGGCTTTGAACCGAGGATCCTAAGGGGAGGAATTGGAGGAGAGAAGTGAAAGTGGTATGGGACAAGGCAGGTGTCTTTTCTGTAAGGAAATGCCTGCGTCTAGTGGATTAGTTATGCCAAGCCCTGGAGGATTGTTTAGATCATCTAGACTTAGCCACACGTGGTTGAAGGCATATACACAATTCTGTGATTCTCTCTTGCCTTTCAAGGTGGTTGCAGTGAAATAATTCAGAAAAGCTGGCCTTTGTTCATGAATACTGTGGTTTGCTTAAACTATATTCAGCTCTAGAGCTGTAATATCTACATGTAGCTATTGAGCATTTGAAATGTGGCTATTGCTACATTGTGAAATGATAATTTTTTAGATATGCGGTTAAGTATTAAAACTAAAAACATCAAAACTAATTTCACTTGTTTCTTTTAACTTTAAAAAAAATACTGCTACAAGAAAATTTAAAATTGCATGTGTGACTTGTATTGTATTTCTGTTGCTCTGGAGAGTTATACTTGAAAGAGTGGCTCCAGCCCTAATTCAGGAACTCACTGCTACAATAGTCAGTTTGTTCCTTGTTAGGATTCAGGCTACCTCAAAATCAACTTTGTGAGCTGCTGGGCAAGGTCCAACTTTTTCAATTGAGTGTACAGGGAAGATAGTCTTTAGCAGTTACTGATGGCCCAGTATGTCTCATAAAAAAAAAAAAAAAAAAAAAAAAAAAAAAAAAAAAAAAAAAGCATTTGTGGAGTTGTATGCATCTTTGAATAATATAAATACATATAAACAATTTGTATGTGTATCCATAGATCTGTTTGTGTGCTGTCTATATATTTTTGTTCAATTTAGTCAATGTATTGGCTTTAGTCTTTTTTAAAAAAATACTTTTTATTTTAGAACAGTCTGAAATTTACAGAAAAATCACCAAGATGGTACAAAGAATCCCATATACCCCATGCTCAGTTTTCTCTGTGATGAACATGTTAATATGGTACATTTGTTACAGCTAGTGAAGCCGCATTGTTACATTATTACTAACTAAAGGTCATATTTTATTCAGATGTTGTTTTGTTTTGCTTCTTGCTTTTTACCTAATATCCTTTGATTATTCCAGGATCCAATCTGGGATACCCTGAAACATTTAGTGCTCATGGCTTTTTAGGCTCCTCTTGGCTGTGACAGTTTCTCAAGCTGTCCTTGTTTCTGAGGACTTTACAGTTTAGAGGAATACTGGTCAGATATTTTCTAGAAGGTTCCCTCAACTGGGATTTGCTCAGTGTTTTCCTCATGATTAGATTGGAGTTATGCGTTTTTGGAAGGAAGACCACAGAGGGAAAGCATCATTTTCGTCACATATCAAGAGTACATACTGTCAACATGACTTATCATTACTGATGTTAGCCTTAATCACCCAGCTGAGGTAGTGTTTGCCAGGTTTCTCTACTGTAAAGTTACTCTTTCCCTCCCTTTTCTATACTGTTT